CTTTGCCCTAACGTTATTTAGAAATTTGTTTTTCATTGTAGCAGGTATCTGGACCAGCGGCTTTAGGTCTCCAGTTCGTGAAGCAGGAATACCCTACGAGAAACGTCAGTGGCTTAGCGGCGGCCACATTGAAGACTGGTTGACAAATTCATCGGAGAATTCAATAGAAGGAATACAAAGCGAATTAGGATTATCATATCTATATTTTACAACCACTGGTGTAACCCAATATAGTGTTAACTTTGATCCTGTAAATGAAACACACTCAGTGATTTGTGAGTTTCATTTTCTTGAGAAAACAACAACCTCCAGGTAACATTCTGTTTACCAATCTTGTAAGATGAAAAAATATTAATCTATATTTGTTATTTTCTGTGAGTTTATCCACAGTATTTAATCTTAAGTTTTCAAGAATTCGTTTTTTTTAAATCAAGTGTTAAAACATATTAGAATTACTATTTTAAGTATCCGCCATGTTATATATTTTCCATCTTTAATACAGTATCGTCTTCAAGATATAACGATTACAAGGACAAAAGTATTTTTCTTCATTGCATTTATGTTGTTGTTTTCGAACTAATAAGTTAAGTGTAATCCTCGTATTATTTCATCTTTCTGTTCAGTTTTATCTCAAACTAAACAGTGTAGACACTGAACGTTTTCTTAGTAGTGCCTATCCATTGAACTTAAAACGTTAAGTGCGGAACACGTGGCGATTTTAAAAGTTTACGAGGTATTTTACAATCTACCACGCCACCTACACAAATGTATTTGTCTATAAGTCTTTCAATCTACCACGTCACCTACACAAATGTACTTCTCTATAAGTCTTTCAATCTACCACGTCACTGTACACTAATACCCCTCTCTAGAAGTATTTCAATCTACCACGTCACTGTACACTAATACCCTTCTCTATCAGCAAAAAGAAAATTAGTAACCACATTTTTATTCTATGTTAAACTTACGTTATTTCATTTTTTCCTTTGACAACAATAATTACAAAGCTGCTTGTTTCTTTAAAGCAGAGCCACATTGAGATTATTTGACGTGTCCACCGCGGGAAATCGATCCCCGGATTTTAGCATTGTAAGTCTAAAGACTTAACGCTATCTCACCGGGAGACTAATAATCATGTGTCTACTGACCTTACGTAAATAATTTGGTTGTTCGTTTTTCTTCAACAACATATAAAAACTCTCATTTGCCCCTTTTTGGCGGTAAAATACACAACTAAACCACATAAATTCCTTTTACTTCTCTTCGATAACAAAACTAGGTTACCACATCATCAACCAATTTTCTTCTCCCTGTCGAAAAGAAACAAATCTAGACCAGTGTTTCTCAGTCAGATTTGCCAGACGACCCCCACGTCCGGGCTTTGGTCGTCGCGATCCCCCCTGGAAATCTGTTCGCGTCCCTTTGAAGGTCGCGACCCACCGTTTGAGAAACACTGATCTAGACTGTGCTACATAATCTCTATCACAACTAGAGTATACGAGTTTAAACGCGTTATTTACTTTAATATTTAATAATCGTAAGATTGAAGGTATACAGGTGCATACCATGAATCAAAGTTGTGAAAGAATAAAAATATCTAACTCAAATATATAATTTTATACTTAGTGTTTCACCCAGCTCAACTCCCAAACCACAAATTCCTGGGAAGTACTGTAAAGGACGGTTTCAAAGAGAAGTTAATTGGCCTGACACACCTATAGGAAAGACATCTCTACAGCCTTGTCCACGCGGAGCAAGAGGCGAGTTATATTTCACCTCATTGTTATATCTTCTCAAATTACTTTCTTTCTTATGACTAATGAAAAGTTTTTTCATTGAACTGCTTGATAAATTTAATACCCTGCTCTTGTTTTCTTATTCAAATTCTTTTATTTCCTTCATTCAAATTTTATACACGGTGATTCTATTTCTTCTAGTTCTATCACTGAGCTACTACATTCGGTTTTTGTTGTTCTTCTAGTTCCCTTACTAAACTTCTATACTCATTTCTTCTTCTTATACTTCCAATTTCTTCGCATAGTTTCTACACACATTCTATCTTCTACTTTTCTCACTATTTTACTACACACATATATATCTTCTTCTTCTTCCAATTCCTTCGCATAGTTACTATTTTTCAAGCTCTGTTAGAGATACAATTTTAAGCATTTGTTGTTTAAAATATTTCTTCTTCATATTTCTCCAAGTTACTTTTTTTTTACCTTGTTTATGTGTCAAGCATACAAATATACTAAGTAAATAGTTTGACTTAGAATTATGTGCCTTCTATTGAATGGTACGCATATATATATATATATATATAGAGAGAGAGAGAGAGAGTCTTAGGCGTTTACAATAATTCCACCAACTATCTTTTCTTCTTTATAGTTTTCACGTAGTAAACACGTATAGTTTTCCTCTTGCTTAGAGACAGATTTATCCGTAGTTCTAGCTGCTTCAAATGTCACACAATTCGTTCCCTCTAACTGTCTAATGGTATTTATTTTCTTGTTTTATTGTCATTAATCACAGTTTCTGTTACATTCTCCTCCCATAGTTACAACACAGAACACTGTCGTAGGAAGCATTTTCTGAGTGGTCAGACCATTACCACGTAGCTATTTCTATGAGATGTCTGGGGGCATGTTCCCCCAGAATTTCTTTTTTAAATTTAATGCTATGAGATTGAATCTCGAGCCATTTTAATTACGAATACTGCATACGTACAACGTAATGTAATGATGTAAAAGAAACAAGTTTTAATACATAAGTTGTAACTATACATGACATGAAAAAAGTGGTTAGGCTGCTTCCTACGACCCTGAAAGATATATTTTCTTCTGAATAAAACAATTATTCTGCGTTTATTTAAATAACACATAGCCACGTTGGATTTCTGTCTTGATTAAGAAAATCAAATATTTTTTACAACAATTCCAAAAATTCATAATTAGCTTGTGTATGACAAATAAAACAAAGGTAATGCTCAAGTATTCACACATTTTAAAGTTTATTAAATGATTACTTAAAATGCGCTGTGAATTGTAGTTTATATAAAAAGTTTCAAAGTTGTTGTTTTTAGCCGCTGCACAGCGACTCATAGAATGGCTCAAATTTTTAGCTCATATCTCCGTTATCTCTTGACCGATTTGAGATCTAATTACAGTTTGGACTTAGGAGATCAAACCCTTTCGATTGATGCATTTAACCACGCCCATGGTCTCATAGATTAATTTACCCTAATCCTTCCTAAAAGAATTTCAATTTGAGGATAGGCTGGTAGAGAACCTGATGAGTAATAAAATCGAATCGGGTATACGCGCACCCCACGCTTTGTATTGCTGGCGCACAAAGATACAGCTAATAAAAAGTGAGAAAAGGTCTCATAGATTAATCTACTCTAATCTTGGTTAAAAGAATTTCAAGTGCCACGGCCATTAAGGATTCCTTCTTGTTTATCTTTTATATTCAGGTAACTAAAACAACCATACAGTATGTAAATATTTGCACCTGAAGTTTTGACATATTTAAAGAATATTTAAGCTAAACGAACATAAAACGTTATAATTTTGTCATTGCTTCACCACAACCATCTTAACTATTTCCCAAAAGATAAACATGCTTTCATTTTTTAATAGGAAATGCAACATGGTTTTGTGACCCTAAAACAAATGATTTTTATCCATCTTTGCCTTCCTTCAAGCACTGTAAACAACGATGGCTCGAAGATCTTGAAAATGAGGTAAGAGTAAATAGTTACTAGCTAACCAGTACGGTGTGAAGATAGGGAGACTTGTTTTGTTTGTTTGTTTTGCTTTTGTGTAATAAGTAAGTTAGTCAATGGGTTAAAGTTCTTTTACCTTGTGTTAGACATGGTAAGAAATATGCCGTATTTATTTACCACAAATTCAAGTACATTGTACGTGTTTGAGCCAAGAACAAGGCTGTATAACGTTACACAAGTAAAACTAATTTACTTCAAACACCTCTTTTTATCCACATAGAGATAAGTAGATTAAAATATGACCGAAAAGGAATTAAGGTGGTGAGTGAAATTGTTTGCTTCCGGTTCCCAATAGAAAAGTATCGTAAAATTGTTATCCGTTTTTAAAGTGCATGTGTTACAAGAACGAGTAGAATGAAGTACAAACAAAGTTTTGGTCAATATATTATTCTATGAAGCTTTCATTTTTCAATTCAAAGTTTACGTTTATTGCTTAGGATTTCATATAAATTTTGCATCTATTTTCTCTTTAGAATTTCATAATTGAGCGCTTATATTCTTATGCTGAAAGTGGTTTATAATATTACTCTTTTTTTCATGATGTAGCAAATGTACTGTGTTGTTTTGAGTTACTTTATAAAACATTGAGCTGTTCCACAAAATTATAGGAAATAGTTAAATGTATACCAATGGCACTTTAATTTTTTATATGTGTAACAGATATCAGAAAAGGGCTAATAGCCGAAATGACATCTTTGGTTATGTAAAATAGTAGAATCCCTTTATTTTTGCTTCAAAACCCCATCAGTTTTAGAAGTAGACAATACATATACTACTATTTCTGTTTAAAAAATATTCCAAGAACTGGCGAATGTATATATATATATATACACATATGAGTCTACAAAATGTTTTTCATTATAACCCTAAAAAAATAAAGAATTATATTATTAAATCATAAAATTCCATAAGAACGCATTATGTTTAGATTCTGAAAGTAAGTACATTAAACAAAAAATATTCAAAAGAAGACAAGTTTTGCATGATGCAAACTTTAGGTTTAGCATCCATTTGAAGATTGTGTTCTCTTGACCCAGCATGAAAGGACGCTGAAGTCTTAGTACCTAAAGTTAAATGTAATAGTCAGTATAAGGAGTTTGATGTCACTTTTATCAACATCCTATTAGTTTCGCAAGTCCCAGTAACTTTTCTTCTATCTCTAGGAAGTTGACTATTAGCCTCCCTCTGTACATGTTCTTATTACTTCTTTTATAAACACTATGGAAGATGAGCTTGATCTGACTCATAATCAACTATACGTATGGTAGAAAGCTCTGTCAAAGGTTTTTCTTCCCAATTTCTACCTACATTGAGAGTCAGCATATCAACTATGTCGATGTATAATCTAAGTTCAGTAAAACATGTTGCAGATAGTGAATGTGACTTGCTCAAGTCTTGCCAGAAAGAATGAGACATTTGTCCAATTTAACAAATTTTCATACAAGCCCTGTATTTTTAAATATTTTAGTATGAATATGGTAGTGGCAAGGCATATGGCTTATCCCTCTGATTCCAGACTGACCTTTTTGGCATCTGTTACTGTCTGTTATCACCCACTTTGGATAACTGTTGGTCATCATGTTTACGAGCTATAAGTGAATATTTCATCATAAAAATGTTACAGTTGCTTCCATAACGCTGTAAACACGCATATTTTCAACCATAAATGAAAGATTCACTGCATATCCAAAATCATTTTAAAATTACAACATAAAATGAGAGATTTTCCTGGGTTGATTAGCCTGAATCCCTCGAAAAAAATTGCTTAAATGTTACTAGAATTTTGATATTGTATCTACTAAAAGCTATTAGTTAGGGTTGACCTCCAGTAATGGAAATAATGAGTATGTTTTAACTTCTCGACTTTGCCAGCTGGAAGCCTATATACAAATTTCCATCTGCAGAGTCGCTTTTATACCCTCCATCTATTTTGATCCGAATCTCCCAGATTGATTTAATATAGTTAACTCACACCTGCATATTATGCTTAGCTTCTCATGTATGGAAATATTATTGTTTTCAGTGTTCTATCATTCTGCTTAACGTTACATAAAGTCTTATCATGTTGCCGAGAGTAGCTTAGTAGTTAACGTGTCGGGCTACAAATCGAAGAATCCGAGGTTGCTTTCAGGTATTTGTACGTTATAAAGGTGACTAAGCTTTATTGGCGGCGGGTACTTCTATTTGGCTGCTTTCCAGTAGTTTTAAATTATACATGATTTCAAGGAGTTTCTAGCGTAAGGTATTAGCGCACGTGCATATAAGGTGCCATCCAGGTTGAAAGTTCCAACTTCTTATCCTGTTTCAGCTGTATTCTAAGTTATTTCAGAACACAGTCTATGCTGAAATAGATATAGACGCAGAACATGTCTGTATGTGTTATGTGTCCACAATATAGCATTGACACCCATTCAAGGTAAACTGTTCCCACAAAAACGTAATTTGTTTGGACAAGTGTTTGTGTTATACATTTTCGAATATCATAGAGTCGGTGGACTCTGTATGTAGGATGGTCAAGATACTCAGTAGGCATAATACAAATATGCAGCTAAAAATCAACAATGACGGAGAGTTTACTTTAAAAGATGATTGTCACTCACTTTCGTTTGTCTCTCTACCCAACAAGCCCAAAAACAATGTAAGAAACCATCGCTAAGCTACCAAATCAAAAAGTGACCAACCCACCAAATTGTTCATCTTTCTTCTTCTTGTTTCAGACGATATAACTCTACAATTACTTTATCACTAACGTTCGTTTAAATCTAAATCCACTCTATGTGTTTCTGGTCAATGAACGATGTCATCGCTTAGTCGTAATAACTAGTAGTAATGTAAAGAAATCACAATTCGAGTGTAAACGATGTTATCATTACTCCTTGAAGTTAGCTTTCTTATAAACATTTGATGTTCCTTCAAAAAGCTTATGTACAGGGTGAAACAGGAATTACCAGTCAATAATAGATGAACATTAGATGACTGCAACATGTAGAATACTCAATGCTTTGTACGCTATACAATCGGTGTCTTTAGGGAGCCAGCCCCTATATTAGGTATGAAGTGAAAGAGTAAAAATAAAATCAATATACATAATATTAAATTTTATTACAAACATTCAAAGAATACACTAACATTTAATCAGGAGAGAAAACGTCAAAAAACAAGTAATAAAAAACATTTTGTAAATGTAAAATGATGTAATACGAGAAAAAATGCAAACAAGAATATAGGAATTATACAGCTATACATAGATTATCTCTCTATGACTCTCATTATTAAAATGTAATGTTGCACTTTAAAATGCATACTTGACTTTGATATAACTGCAGTTGGAAGTTATATATTCCTGACTGTTGATATGCAGTTTGTTTATCATAATATCACGGTCATGTCAGTGTAGGCATCAATGTAGTGTAACTAAGAGCCTAGGACTTACCTACAAGGAAAACTAAGTTGAGTCAAAACATGTCTTAATTATATTAGACTATTAAAGACTCTCGCTACGAGGTTGGTGAAATTGACCGACCTCGTAACCATTTTGTACTCATTACATTAAATTTTGATATAGAAAGTCATGTAACTATGATCTATGTATAGCTGTATTATCCCTATATTTTTGTTTGCATTATTTGTGGCGCTGCCTTCCGTACATCATTTTGCATTCACAAAATGTTTTTATTACTTGTAAGCTATATACTTGGGAGAGCTATTTAAAAACAAAACATAATTTAATTCCAATAGACCAACCACATCATATTACAGCCAACAAACATACATCAGTGGTGTTGACCATGTGGACAACAAGAAGCAATTTCTTGCAAATAATATCTATTAAATACAATGCACTCCCCATAGTTTCAAAGACAGTTATTATACAATTTCATTAAAATGTAGAAGTGATGATCTGTGAATCCAATTGCTTATATTTGCCTTGAAAATATCAGTTCTTTGAAAATATATTTTCACACAAAGCTCAATGAGAAAGTCTATAAAATGAAAGTCATATGATGCTAGATCAGGACATGTGCCAATAATGGCCTCATACTCCATTGTTCAAAGTCTATGTAGGCAAATATCTTTATTAGTTTCGGAGTTGCTCACAATATATATATATTAGATATAAAAATATTTCTCAGGCTTGCCCACCCCCAGTACACAACGACAAGCTTGAAGGCTTATAATGCTAAAATCCCTTTCCGATACCCGTGGTGGGCATAGCAAAGGTAGCCAATTGGCAGATTTGTGCTTAACTACAAACACACACCAAGACAGGCCTGGGCCTCCGTAAAACCCATAAACGTTCTTTATGTTGTATTGATATCACTCCAGATAAGTGAATTATTCTCTTGGTAACAATGTACATGACCTTCTCAATCTCATTCAGGTTTTTCATCCACAATTCCATCTAAGGTGGAGATAAAGATGCCTACAAAACCATAGATATGCATCATTGACTTCGCATTCCAAACATTGCAGCCTCTGTTTGTGAAGAGGGTTCCCTCACACCCATGGGTTATCTCAGTTTTATTAGTTTTCTATGTCAATAAATTTATCTAAAAGCATATCCTCTTGATTGTTCAAGGCCATTTGTATTGAGAAATATAGATTTAGCTGTGTGGTAATCTTTATCAGATTGTTAAATGGAGATTAGTGAAATTCGTATAACAATTACAGGAGCGTGAGACCTGGAAGAGTATATGTAATTTTTCCAAAGTACGAGATCAATAACAACAACTACAAAAAGAAATTTATTATAACGATGCACATATCTAAAAATATAGACAAAAAACGTCGCACTTAATAAATGAACATTAGTACAACAAACCACTGGATATAAAAATATTTGTTACTAGAAATAAGATTGGAGTGAGCTGGTCGTCTACATAGAAAGAGAATAAATAAAGCATAGCACTTTTGGTACACACTTCATCTGTTTGTAGCAAAATTACAAATCCTCCAAAAACTCTATAAACTCTCGTAACTTAAAAACTTCACATTTCAGAAATATAAACAACCAACAAAGAATAATCTAATTCAGACCAATTACAACTTAAAGGGTGGAACCCAACTATGTTACTTTTGTACCTTTTTGTGGTAGTTGAAGAAGAGGGTGAGAAAATGAAAAAAGGGTGACCCAAGTGATACTGAAATAGCATTATATTTGATTGCCACTGCAATAAAGCCAACACCAAAAACTCAAAAATTACAAATTATTCATGCATGAGTATATGAATTGTAGGATGGAGAAGTTTTGCAGATAAATGGCTAAAGGTACAACCAACTCTAAAGGTACAACCAACTCTAATTATCTTAAATTTAGCTTGGCTGTTTATTCGATATTTGGTTAAACCATAGTTTAAGTTCTCTGAGCGTAGTCTCTCAACATTCAAATTGTTGCTATAATAAGTGTTCTAACGAAACTATGCTCAATTGACTTACACAAATATCTTGTGGTATTTAATTAATTAAATTAATAGATCACTTAAACCCCAAATATTCATTATTGCAGATATAAATGTATTTTGCTACATGGTTCGGCCATATTTGTTTAGGCCGTCATAAAACAGAATGAAAGTAAATGAGACAAAGTAAAAATAAGCAAAAAAAAAAAACATTTCAATAGAACGTAGTACATGTCCATTTTAAAATAACGTTTTATTTCAAGAATCAATAAATATGACAAACAACTTAAAAGAAATGCCCTCCATTTCTACCAAACACCCCGGCTTCAACCCCCTTTCGAGGGTCCCGAGCATCACAGTATACAAAACCAATCAAAACTTACAGCAACCGAAAATAATGCAAGACTACAACAGTATAGTAGAACTTACATTGTTCTATTATATTTCTGCAGTCCCAAATTACCTGTTATATTTTGTAGTTTCTTGTTTTTTTTGGGTGCTGTCATATTTTATGTTTGTTATGAATTTCGCGCAAAGCTACACGAGGGCTATCTGCGCTACCGTCTCTAATTTAGCAGTGTAAGACTAGAGGGAAGGCAGCTAGTCATCATCACCCACCGCCAAATCTTGGGCTACTCTTTTACTAACGAATAGTAGGATCGACCGTCACATTATAACACCCCCACGGCTGAAAGGGCCAGCATGTTTGGTGTGATGGAGATTCGAATCCGCGGCCCGCAGATTGTGAGTCGAGAGCCCTAACCACCTGGCCATGCCGGGCCACATATTTTATGTATACTGTTTTATATTTATTTTGAATATTTTATCTTATATATAATATATATATGTATGATATGTATATATATTTCTCGTGTTTTTTAATTCAAATAGAACGTTAATTTAAAACTTACGTATCTAAAGTAAAATAACGTAAAAATGGCAAACTGAGAAAACCAGAGTTCAAATTAGTAAGATAGGTAGTGATACACTGCTATTAGGTTTATTCTCTATTATAAAATTTGACTTATAAAAGAAAGAGAAGAAAAAAAACCCGAAGAGCAGGCATGCCGGTTCAAGCCCATAACTTTCTACATCTAAATCTACCCTGTACAAACATTTCTAATGAAACAGAAATATAGAAATAAAATACGTACAAATTATTGTGGATGAATAACTGGAGTGATAAGTAAAAACTTTTATCGTGAAGTTAGTGTTCTAGTCTATATAATATATAGTATATATACGAACAGCATAATAAAACCAAATGTGGCTAGATTAAAAAATGCTGCTACTAAACGGAATATTCCCTCAGAACTATCCCCCCCCCCAACAGTAAACTTACCTAACCTACATTTCTCAACGTTAGAATCTTAAAGAAAGTGTAAATTCTCCAGGTGTTTTCTAATCCTAGAGAATTATGTACACCAAGAAACATGCGCTACTGAAACAAATACGCAAGTGATTAACTTAGGGTCGAGGAAACCTCCAATGAAGACCAAATCAACCAAATAGGGAAGCGGCCTTAAGAAATTTAAGAACAGCATTAGTAACACCAAGTACAAAGTCTAATGATACACAAAGAGGTTAACGATAAAAACAGAACACAAAAGAAACGCATATTGAATAGTTCACAGAGAAGTCTTGTAGAAGGAACAATATGCGATCAATTCAGATTGGCTAAAATACCAGCACCGTGATATCCGTGGCTTAGTTCTCATTATAATTTCCGCTTGTTGTTGGTTCAAATAAATATTTATGTATTGTTTATATATAGTACACAAAAATTTGGCTACGTTTTAGTTAATGTGTAGTATATTTGGTTAGCTGATGACCTTGACCCCCAGTGAGACATCGGTAAGTTTAGAATCTGGGGTTCAAATCCCCCGGGGTGAAGCCAGCAGATTGCTCAATGTGGCTTTGTTCTAAAAGAAACAAAAGCTGATGACCCTGGTGTTTAACGCTGGTACGTTAAAACGTCACCATGACCGAGCTTCAAGCTGTGGTCCAAAATGTAACGTTGGAAACAAATATATAAATAACGAGACATAAGTTCCTTACAACACTAAAAATGCAATGATAATAAAATTCTACATTACTCAAGTAATAAGACTATCGTTTTGTTTTGATAAAATTTCAACAGTAAACACAAAATCATCTGCTTTTTTTCTACCCCCCCCACCCCCCGGCATAGTGGTATGGCTGTAGACTTACAACGCTAGACACCGAGTTTCGATACCCGTGGTGGGCAGAGTACAAATAGTCTATTGTTTATATTTGTGCTTAAATTACAAACGAAGAAGTTTTTCTACAGTGCGCCCCCAATCTTACAAACTAACAAATATAAACGGAAAAATGCAAATATGAAGAATATTATTATTTTATATTTGTATAGATAATAGATAGATGATTTCAAATAACTTGGATAAAATCAAATAAAGTCCTGAGTAAGCAGGATATATAATAACCAAATAAAGAAAAAATTTTCAAAAAGTGAAATAAATGTAAGGATGGCTAATATCAATCCTTCAAAGCAATGCAAATAAGATAGCAGGGTTTGCATTTGCAGCACATCTACATAATAGCACAAGTACACAGTATAGTAAAATGTTAACAGACAAAAATAGGATGTCTTAAACTCAATTGTGATTGAATAGTTATATATATATTGCTGTATGTTTATTCTTGCCTGTGCTATTATG